TTGAGAAAGTAAACGTACATTCAATTATACATTCCATCCAAATTCTGATATTTTCCCAGTATTTCTTAAAAAAGGCCATCAACACCACACTGCTGTTGCTATGCTACAGTTGTCAGTGTCTGGTTGACTGTAGCATCTGTGGAAAGCTTTAAAAAAAAAAAAAGACTCTTGCTTTTTAAAATAAAGAAATGGGTCATACAGAACCATGAGTAGCCAAAGTCAGTGACTTATTTCATTTATTTAACCTCAGCTCATTTCTACCTTCACCATTTTTCACTAGTTTGTTCAACATCTATGAGGATCGATGTGTACAGGCCCTTTTATGCCATAATCTTAAGTGTTTAGATGCTAAAGTGGAAAGTGACCATGCTGCATCTTCACAGCCTGATACATAGAAGCTGATCCCCACCCTATCAAAACTCCAGAACATTCTAACATTCTTTAAAACAAATAGGGCCCAATTCTTATGCTAGTTGTGCTGGCATAAATCAGGATTAGCTCCACTGGAGGTAATACAATTACACCAGCATAAAAACTGATGTCATATCAGAGAATTGGGACCATAATATCTTTCAGCAATTCAGAAAGAAACTAGGAGACATTTATTATATGCCTGTCCACAACACTGCGCCCTTATTCTGTTCCAGTCATTGGCATTTAGGAGCAAGAGTGATTAAGTGACCAAGGCATTACTAAGCATTTCTAAAAATAAATGAAGAGGTGGAAACATACACTAAGTCGGCATGGGCAAGTACCAGCCCACAGGCTGGATTTGATCCACCAGAGTTAGCTCCTGGTGGTCCCCTACTGCTATATTCACCTGCACAACCACAGGTATTGGCAATTGTAGCTCCCATTGGCGGTGGATCACCCTTCTTGGCCAATGGGAGCTACAATCGCCAGTACCTGCAACCATGCGTGTAGTATAGCAGCAGTGGCCCGTCAGGGGCTAACCCTGGTGAACTGCTGCCGGTGTACTGCCCACCCCTGCACTAACCTATAAAACATGATGGTCCAAATACATGCCTAGGGTAACCCTGCTGACATTAATCGAACTGGGATGGCTTTCACTTAATAAAAGTGAGTGAATTGTCCTCTTTGACACTGTTTCATTGGTGTTATGTGGCAGAGGGCTGTGCTATACATTGTCCAAGGTAACAATAATCCAACTCAGCCTGCTCCATAAAATTGTTTATATAATTTAACAAAAGTTGGAGACAAACGAACCAGTACAAACTGGATTGCTTAAGTTAAAAGAACAGCAATGAGGGGTCTTCCAGCTGGCTTTATAACTCAAGCAGTAGAGGCTCCTACATTAAATTCCAGAGAGCTCAGGTTCAAATCTGCCCGGTGGCAGTTACTCTGGCATAAGTTACAGATTGATGACAAAAAGCTGATGAGTCTCAAAATGGGAGGCATTGTTTATAGTAAAAATCACTGAATGTATTTTGAATGGCTTTACTAATTAAGATAGCTGTCTCTTTTTGGACATGCTCTATCTAGGGGTCACTCAGTGCCCACCAGAGATGTGGACTGGAAGGAGACCGTTTTATTATCATGGCTGTCATCTCCACCATCTCCATGGACCTGGAAACTACCACGACACTGTTGGGCCTTCATCATCCTGATCGTAAGAGAGAAACCTGAAAAGAGCAAGCCAGGGAGAGGAAACCGATGCTATCTGGTATATGAGATATGTGCTCCATTCACTCATATCAATTTCCTTTCCAGTTTTAGTTTTCTTCTTTCCTAGCTCTCTTTCCTTTTTACTTTCTGTCCAAAAAGATTCTGTTTAGCACGCCAAGTCTGACACATCTCAGAATGGCTGATAAAACTGTATGCGCTGCCCGTATCTCTCAAGAAGCAAGGCTCAAAGTGAGATTCAACAGCAGCATCAGAAGCTGCGTTTTCTATCTTTGTTATTCTTCTCTCCTCATGTGTCTGTCTTCTTTTTATCTTAAAGAAAGAAGGATTGGGCTTCAACAATGATTGCTGCAACAAGAACTTCTCCAAGCCTCCTCAACTGTTTTCTCTTTTCCCCTGAAAGAAAAGTTAACAGCATCTAAAAAGACAGGGGTTTGGTTCCTTTCTATAAAATAACTCTCTAGCAGGGGTGGGGAGCCTGGATCTGACCCCCAAGGCTCCGGGCTCCCCCCACAAAACCTACTAGCCTGGGCCTCATAGGATCCTAGGCTCCAGTGAGAGGGGGAATGTGGGGAGGGTGTTTCTCCTTCTCAGTTGGGGGCCACATCTGTGAGGTTTTAAGAGGTTTTTTCTTCTCACTTGTGTGATTTTTCTGTAGGTCAGTGGCTCCCGACCCAAAAAAGGTCCCCCCAACCCCACTGTACAGCTAAAGGGATGTTAAAATGAAAACCTCTCTTGATACCTTACATTTTAAAAGTTTTATTTTTTTATAAAAAGTTTTAAAGATGTTTATCTGTAATTGTTACAATGTAGCTAAGCCAGCAATTACTTAACATGAAATCCAAGACACACTAAACTGTTTAGTGTTGTAATTGCAAACAAAGATATCTTACCCCTTGTTGACCCCAAGACCTCCCTTTCATTTTTTTTAGCATAACAGCTATTTGCATTTAGAAAACTTATTCATTCGCTATTCAGCAATTAAACTTCATGATTCCAATCAGTGACATCACCATCACCTAATTACTTGCCCCTCCAAATTCTGGGCTCCCTCAGTGTAGGTTTCCATACAAAATACAGTAGGATCTTTTGTGCCATATCCATGGGACACATGAGTGCAACAGGAGTAAAAAGGAGGTAAAAGCCCTCCAACTTAGGTTCTCCCAACCAGCAAATGCGAGATACTAGCCCTGCCTAATCAAGTAGGGTCATGACCATCAGTCTACAACAAGTATATTCACTCTCCAATATATGCAGTGCCTTTCCTCACAAGCCATGATCTTCCACTTAAAACCCAGGTAAAGCATTGTAGCTAAACAGCACCTGTTCCAGGTGATTGGCTACCACATAGTCTTATTGTACCATTAAAAAAACAATTCATCTCTGGTTTCTTAACACATTGTTTCATTTCTTTGGGCAGGGGACTGGACTCCATGACCTCCTTATTTCTTTGGGCAGGGGACTGGACTCGATTACCTCCTGAGGTCTCTTCCAGCCCTAGGATTCTGTGATTTTTTTATTTCAGTTGATCACAGGGATCTAGGGTCTGTTCATTGTCTCCATCCAGCAGGGCCAGACAGCCTCTGGGGGCCCAATTTCATGCCCTGCAAAGGGCAGGGCTGAGGGCAGAAGGGGTGGGGCCAAGTGAAGTCATCCCTTAGTGCCACCTGGACTTCAGCATTGGGTACCTTCCAGCCCTCAAAACCACGTGGAGCAGCATAGCAGTGCTCCAACTCCAGGCCCCTTTAATAGGCTAGGCCCCAGGGCAAATGCCCCTATTTGCCTCCCCCGCCAGTCAGCAGGCCTGTCTGCATCATAGGCTGTTTCCCATTCACACTGTAATAGAAGATGAAATGCCTGGAAAAAGCAGAGGGTTGTCATAAAAATAGAAAGGATGTACCAGCTTCTTTAGGGACAGTTAATCATCTGAACTGAAAGCTGAGTCTTGAGTTGAAGTGCAATACATTCCTGCCTTCATACATTGCAAATCTGGCCCTTTATCATTGGCACATCAGAGCAGCAGGTTACAAATTAGCAGGACCCATGACCATTTAATAACAGAGCAACAGTGCTATAGCTAGCTAGCTACGCTGTAATTCTGACACCGGCTTTCTTATCAGACAACAATATTTAAAGGAGAGTAAAAGACAGGCCACGTGAGGTTGAAGCTGGGGGGGAGGGGAGAGGGGGAAGCAGGTCCCCTTATTAAAATTAAGCAGTTAGTTCAGTTGAGAACATCTGGAGAGTGCTGCCCCTTCCTTGACTGTAGATGTCTGTAAGCGTCTCAAATAGGCAAGTTCCTTTCAGCATTGAAATGACAAAGGAGCTAGTCAAGGATACCCCTTAAAGCAGGGGTCTCCAACCTTTTTAAGCACAATTCACTTTTTGAATTTAAGTGCAATCCAAGATCTACCTCAAATATAAATATCATTGCCCCACCTCCTTCCCACCGTGCTCTCTCCATCCTCCCTCTCTTGCCCATCCTCACTCACTTTCATCAGGCTGGGGCAGAGGGTTGGGGTGCGGGCTCTCGTCTTGGATTAAGGGATCCTGCAGTGTGAGAGGGGCTCTGAGCTGCTCTTGGGGCAGGCAGTTGGATGTAGGAGAAGGTTCTAGATGCAGGCTCTGGGATGGCGTTTGGATGCAGGGGTGCTCAAGGCTAGAACAAGGGTTTGGGGTGCATGAGGGAAGTCATGACCAGGGTAAGAGTTTGGCATGTGGACTCCAGCTGGGCACTGCTGGTGGCTCCTGGTTGGCGGTGATATGGGGCTAAGGCAGGCTCACCCCTGCCCTGGCCCTCCTCCACTTCCTAAAGCAGCCAGCAAGCTCCATCCCAAGTCCTGTTGTGCCCTCTCTCTGCTCTGTGGAGAAAGGATACAGAGTGGGAGAGGGGGCACCCTGACATCAGAACCCCTCCTTTCGCTCTCCTGCCCTGCACAGAAAGCAGGAGACTCCCAGGGGGAGGGACAGCTCCAAGGCAAGGGGCAGCACTGGAGGTAAGGGGCAGTTGAAGTGCAGACACTTGATAGCCTCTTAGACAAATCAGTCAGGATCAGCTGTCAGAGGCTCCAAGATCTATCAGTAGATTCTGATCTACTGGTTGGTAACCACTGCCTTAAAAGAACAGACTGTACAAGTCCATGTTTCACAAGTGCTTGCAGAACTAAAAAATGCGGCAGCAAGTTTCTGGCATGTATTCTTTTTACAAGAAACGTCCGGACTAAACACAAACTAAATATGCCTGATCATTTATACATCACCAAATTATACTTCCAATCTGCCCCCAATGCTTTCCTTCCCAGTGCCAGCAGTCCTGCTTAGTCACTCACACAGAGTTAGGAGCTTATTGTACTCACCAACTGGCTGCTGTACCAGTATAAGGAAGACCCCTTCAGCATGAACCAGAACTTTTTCCATTTGTTGCCAATGAAATGTCCTTTTTCTTTTTTCTTATAGAGCCATCCCTGGTAATCAACTTGTCCCAGGTCCTTACACGATATCCTCCGTCGACTCATAATAACAATCCCTGTGCCATTAAAATAAATGGTTCTGCTTGTTTAAATGCACAGTACTACATAAATTAAATATATCAGTCAATCTACATTTGTTATATTGACAGTAATCCAAGTGTCTCTTAAAATGCTCATAGAAGTCAGATGGGTCAGACCATTTTATGATGTCTATTAGATACATTCATTTAAAAGGCATACTAATATACAGAGATAAGATGAGATGTTCTCTTAAAATAATTGCTAATTTCTCTGAAGATAATTGCACACAAATAAGAGACATGAATTATTGTAAAATAAAACATACTAGATAAAAATGGATCTCATCTTCCTTACAATTGCATTAGAAAATGATAGAGCTATTTAAGTCTCAGAGAGAGAGGATTAGCTTTCAACGAAATGAAAAGCTGCATGTCTTTCTCCTTGTCTCACTCTAGACTCTCCGCTCTGTGCCTATTGACATACCACAAGAGCTTAGTCCAAATGAACAGCATGCTGTCATGTTTTCAGAATCAATGCAAAAATAAGCAGAGTTTAAACAACACTCCTTCACCAGCTAGACAGTGGTACAAAAACCTCAACCTTCCACAACAAAACACCCTTTAAGGAAAAAAAAGAGGAACAAAAGAGGAGGAAAAAGATCTGTTACCTTGACTTTTCTGTTTTGTCTTCTGACGCAAGGGAACCTGCAAGAAATGCAGGAAGGAAAGAAAGGAAATTTCAGATTGTGTTACAACATTTGTAAAGACAGACTGCTGTGGGGACTGAAGGAGGTGGTGTTTATACGGAGGATGGAATCTAAAAACCCACTTACAGCTAAAGGGACGCTACTAGCTGAAGCATAAAATGTGTTAATTAAAACTGATGTTTATGCAGCTGAACAAGAACAAATGTAGTGCTATTACATATATGAATCTATCCACTAGTGCTTCCTGTTTCACACCCACAGGCAGCCTCTCTGACTGCTTTTTAGCGTGAATGATATAATGTCCTCTGAAGTTAAAAAAAAAAGTTAAAACTGAAACATTTAAAGCCTCATTGCCTCTATTAGAGATATTAGCATGTAAGCTTGAAAAATACATGTCGGGTATTTTTTGTTAGCACTGAGCTCTTAGCACATTGAGGACATTACTGTAAACAAATAATAAAAAATATATCACTGTTTTCCCCTTTTTTCCTTCTAGTACACATATCTCCCCCTCCACTCCCCCCCACATGAGTAAAATGTTGACAGAACATGTTACAGATAAGACGACAGTGTTTCAGCATTTTTAAAAAATATTGTCCATGTTTGGCTGATTTCCTTATCTTTCATGTATAAATATGCTTAGTTTATTATGTCATCTCATATACACTTTATGTACTTTCGTTATATATATTCATTTGCATATTTACATTTTTTTATCCAACATTACATGGAAAATACATTTGCCTTACTATTTACATTTTTTTTATCCAACATTATTACATGGAAAATACATTTGCCTTACTGAAAAATAGAGAAAATGAAACTAAAGTTCAGCAGTTTGAGTTAAAACCTATAGGGGAACCTAAGGCTGGACTTGAGCTGTAAACTAAAATCCAACCTTAGACTCCCCTATAGGTTTTAACTCAAGATGCTGAACCTTAGTTTCATTTTCTCTATTTTTGAGCTGTAAACTCAAATTAAAAGCTGAGTTGTTGTGTTTTCACTGCTATTTAATCTGAATTAGTTCACACAGGTTAACTAATGCAAGTTAAGAACACACCGCTTTATATGGTGTAAACATAACCTAAACTATACGAAGTGGGGTCCCGAGAATAGGGAATTAGGAATCAGAATTCCTGGGTTCTATTCTTAGCTCTTCCCTGACCTGTTATTTTACTTCAGGCACGGCAACTCACTGCTCTTTGCCTCCATTCTCCCATCTATAAAATGGGGACAATGATACTTATTCTTTCTAAAACATTCAGATCTCTCCAGTGAAAAATAATGCACTCAAACTCAGTATTCTGATATTTGTTTATGCACACAACTCTGCTATGCTGAAGTGATATTAATCTGATGAATTGCAGAACTATGTAACAAAGGACTATAATGTACCTTTGACTACCTACTTTGCAACATATTGGTCTTTTAACATATATTAGCTTTAGGGAGAAAAAAGCTATTTTATACCCTTTTAGGATGTTAACATGGCTCCACATACAGTTGAACTCATAACTAGGACACTTGGTTTTAGAGTGGCAGGGACACCAAAAAATCTCCAAAATAAATTTTTAAAACCCTCAAATATTTTCTAAATATCTCTCTCAGCAACATAAGGTAACACATATATAAATGTGTACCACAATGTTTTTATTAGTGTTTATTTGAGATGACCTTCCTAACTCACTTGTGGAGCTCTTTGTCAAAAATGAATTATCCCAAATTCATGTTAAACATCACGTATTCCATACTTTTTAATATATGCTATGTTACCTAGGATGTTACTCTCAGGACAATATTCCATGGTAATAGATCAAGGAACACTATGAGCAAATAGACCAGCTACATGAGAGTCAATAATATTCCCCAGTCCCATATAGACTGACACTGAAGTCTTCTCTCCAAAGAAAGTTGTACCTTACTCAGTCTTGGGCCAGTGGGGAGATAGTAAGAGCTGCCAGGACTCAATACTTAGACTCAATACTTCCTATTTAGCAATCAGGATGAGGTGAAGGAAGAGGAAGATGAAATAACACCTCTTACGCAGAAGCCAGGTAGTGGGAATGATGCTGTAAAGATGACGCATCAACTAAATCCAAACTAACAAAATGTCATGATAAGATTGCAACACAGTGACAGGATGTGGCTCTCTCTATTTGATGAAGAAGTAGCTCTCCAGCTAATGCACAGCCTTTATCATTGAGCTATAGCTTAGACCATAGACTGCTCTGAAGGGAAGAGACAAAATCCCCATTGCATAAATTATATATAATTGAACTAGACAAAACAATATAATGAAGGAAACAATCCCAGAATCAGATTATGGATTACAATCACCATGAATTAATATACACTTCTGGTACCAGTTTCTATGGTTCAAGCACAGTTTAGGGAGCCTGTAATCCAGGACTCTACAGCAGCAGGATTTGTCACAGTATCTCCCTACCTTCACAGCACTGATCTCCAGAATTTCAGCACCCGTTTAAAAAAATTCAAAAGTTGATACCGTTTCTGGTCATTGTTCCAGCTAATGTTTTCCATCCAGGTGTGGAATAAATGTTGCTAAGTGCACCAAGTAAAGTGCAGGTGTGTATCACCAATAGAAACACATGCTCTCCTACTCACAAAGCTAATAAATGTGGAAATAGCTATACTCACTGAACTATATTATTAAAAACCTCAATTTTTAATTTAAATTAATCTACCACTAAACTTGCCATCTGTCTCATCAGAGACACCAAAATTTAGGTTCAGCTTGTCCCAAAACATACAGGATGATGGATTGTACTAACAAATGGTTCACCAAAAATCAAACTGAACCCATCTGCAAGATATCCAGATGTGGCCATTATTTGTAAGAAATCTTTCATTGCACAATACTCGGGTGAGTAACACAAGGAATCAGTAAAGAGTCGCTTGTGGTTTTCCAGTTTGCAAATTTAGCTTCAGACCAAGAGACAAATCCCTTTAATAAGGAGGGGTATGTCTACACTAGCCCCCTAGTTTGAACTAGGGGGCTAGTGTAGACATACCCAAGGAGTTTTTCAAGGCACTGAGAAGCAGATGAAAACCACTATAAAAACACATCCAATCATATCCAATAAAACTGATGGTCCAGACCAGAAAAATACCAGCCATCTCAGAAGAGACTATACTTACGTAAGACGCACTCACTGGAACAATATAAGTATATAGTGTGCCATCTGTTGTAATTTCATTGTATGTTCCATGATATTTGGTATGTTTTTTAAACCCCAGCTCCTAGTGTCATCCAATTTATGTGAGAAAGCTGAAAATACAAATCCCTTAATGGACCTAAAAAAGACACTCTGAATTTAAGTTTTAAAAATCTCAGCATTTTTAAGCCACTCACGATTTTGTGCAGCCCGATTCCTGGTTTTGCTTACATTTGACAATACTGGAATTTGTTTCACTGTAGTTTCGCACATCAAGAATGTGGTGGGACTGTAGCCTGTTGGAACCTCTGCACCTAAATGTAGACTGCAAACCTACGGCTTACTATCCAGAGCTCCCGCAGAGTGCAAATACATGCAGGCACTAGCTCACATTCATTTGTCTCATTGGTTGAACCAATCAATAGGCAGAAAACTTATAAAGATGTGATGAATTGGGGGATATGTCTGCATCAGATGGCAAATTCCATTTTGGTTTTGTGAACATCTTGTTGTATTTTTAACCTCTGTTGAGAATGTAGCTTTTGGCATAGCTTCGAGCATTCATTTGGTAGCAGGAATAGGCATCTGGTGGACAGATTTTAAGTTATGTCTTCTTTGTAGAGCTTATGCCAGCATATCTTTACACCCATAGAAGGGTTTTTTCTGTAGGAATACCACTTCCCTTCCCTGAATAACATTAGCTACATCAACACAGGCACTCTGCCATCAGTATAGATGAGCCTACACTGGGGGTTCTTTTGGAATAGCTGCAGCACTAACAGATGTGGATTTATCATATCCCTGAGCACTGAACTAAAGTTTAAGTGTAGACTAGGCCTTAAGGAATCCTGTAACCCTCTAGGGTTTTATTAGTAGTGTGATAGAATTTAAGGCCAGAAGTGATCATCAGGTCACCTAGTGTGACCTCCTGTACATCCCAGGCCACCAACACCACTGCACAGTAACTCAACAAGCAACATGAGGCCGAAGCATTACAACCCACTAGAGGCTAGACTACTGAGCTACAAGTAGAGAATAGGAGGGACCACGGTGCACCGCTACCTGAGGGACCCACAATAGCAGAGAAACGAATGATTAAGTGAGAAATACCCAGATAATCCTAGCGAGGGACCCGCATATGTGGAGGCTGCAGAGGAAGGTAAAAAATCCCCAAGGTCACCTCCTATTTGACCTGGGGAAAATTCCTTCCCTACCTCACACCTAGAAATGAGTGAGAGTGAAAGTATAACATATTCCTTTGCTAAGTCTATGTTTCTTTCTTTACTGCCACATTATCCCTGAGGGGTGGAACTAGAAAAATCAGAGCTTCCTCACCAGGTGATCTCTGGGGGGGAATTTGTCTAAGAAACTGGGATTTGGGAGGGCTGACAGACTGATTCTGATGTCTCAGCTACCAGGTGATGGGGTACCACTGCCCAAGAAATGCATCAGACATTGGGGACTGCACCTGAGAGAATGCTAGAGAGACCCAGAACTAGGAACAGTGACCAGAGTCACAATCAAGACCCAGCAGCTTAAAAGCACATGAGATTCAGCCATTGGATCCAATTCAAACACACTGGTGCCCTTCCAGAAAGAAGACCTGGGCCATGTTGTAACAATCTCATCGGCTGGCCCAGTGAATAATCAAGAACTTATTTAAAGGTTGACCATAATCTCAGCCTTTTGGGCTTTGTCTACACTACAAGGTTTTTGCACAAAAACAGGCAGAGCATCCATACTCAAGCGCGTTTTTGCGCAAAAAAAATACAGTAAATCGACAGGACAGAGGGCTTTTGCCAACAGTTATTCCTCTCCCCATGAGGAATAACTCCTTTTTGCGCTACAGCTCTTGTGCAAAAAGGCAAGTGTGGACGCTCTGCAGGGGTTTCTCGTGCAAAAAGAGCCTATCGGAAAAAGCACAGGTGCTCTGATGGCCATTCTGTTAATGGCCATCAGAGCTTTCTTCCGCAAGAGTGGCCATGCAGCGTGGATGCTCTCTTGCGCAAAAGCATATCGCTTTTGAGGTGTGGACGCGCTTTTGCACAAAAAGTTTTTGCAGAAGATCTCTTCCGCAAAAAGCTTCTTGCGCAAAAACCCTGCAGTGTGGATAAAGCCTTGGAGAGTAAAAATGCACATACAAACGCGGTACTTTCCTCAACCCACCCTGCAACTAATGACCATGGCCAAAACTGAAGATATACTGAGAATCATAGAAGCATTGGACTGGAAGTGACCTTCAGAGATCATCTAGTCCTGTCCCCGGAAATCATGGTAGGACTAAGTATTATCTAGACCATTCATAACAGGTGTTTGTCTAACTTACAAGAAAATTGCCATCAGCAGCCATGTAGGATTCCAAAACCCTGGGGGAGAGCTGTAACAAAGAACAAAAATATGTTTAAGATTTAAACCACACTTTTACAGCATACATCCTCAATGAAAGGGAAAAATAGTTTTCAAAAAAGTTCTAAATTGCCTAAGTTTAAGTTGTATTCTTGAACAGAAGGATGCTGTATATGAACTAGATTTACTAGCAGAGAAGTAAAATAATGATCTGGACCTGAGGTCTAGCTTCATCAGGTCTCTTTTCAAGCTGCTCAATAGAAAAGCAGAAGATTACAATTTGTCTTAGGAAATGGGTTGAGCTTGTCTAAAAACAATTTTCCCTATAAAAATGTATGATGAAAATGAAATTTAAAAAAAAATCAACTTTTAATCAGAAATGTAGAGTTTTTAGACGAAAGGTTTTGGCCAAAAATGGGAGCGGTGTCACAAAGGAATTTAGTTTATTCCCCATACCCTGAGTCTCTTCTATGGGGTAGGATCCAAATTGGATTACATCTCCCATAATCAGTGTTCCATGTAATATGTGCACTTGTGTGGCTGCTTAAGAGAGATTCAAATTCTGCCTAACTGATTAGCAGAATGCCCATAGCTAAGTTTTTGTTTCCCCTGATGGCACACATTTGCACATGTCTCGGTGCACACAGAAAACAATTATTCCGCACATGGATGGAAAAAAATCCACATATGGTTGGAAAAAGATTACAGGGAACATTGCTCATAAGCCATCCTTGTGTCCACTTTTGATGAGGAGAAGCAGTGCATCATGAAGTCCTTGGCCAGGGTGTGTTATGGGAGATGTAGTCCAGCAGAAATCTCTCCCAAAAAAGAATCTCTCTCCAGGTTTCAGGCCACCAGGCTAGATAATTTCAGCTGCCGATTCAGTATGATTTTGGAGAGCAATATTCCTTTGGACCCTGAAATATCTGGGATGGGGGAGGGGAGCAGAAATTCAAAGCAATTTACTGGACAAACGAAAGGCACAATAACTTTACTGGAACCAGTTAACTAGAAAGCCAATCCCTCAGAAATAATGGACATCAAAAAGTATTTCAGTTAAAGGAGTGTTTAGAGAATATGGTATTTTGTTTAAATGAGCAGCAGCAAGAATATAAGAAAACTTTTATTTTCTTATAGAAAGGAGTTTAAGGAACTCTATTGTTGGTCCTTTTTTCTGTGCTGTCTAACCCTGAGAATTTAAGAGATGCCATTTTTAACATGTAATATTTGTTTTATTTTGAAAATAAAAACAGTAGACACATACACACACACACACACACACACACACACGCAGAGTCTGACCCCCAACAGTTTCAAACCAAAAATAAAAAGATAAAAGTAGATAAATCTGAACCCCCAACAGTTTCAACCCAAAAATAAAAAGATAAAAGTAGATAAATCTGAAGAAGTATATTAATAAGGATAGATTCTATAGAAAAGAATGTCAAGGCTATTTAAAACTCATATCCAAGTATAAACAGGAAGAAAGGAAACATCTTAGCTATACAAGCAAACTAAAGCAGACGCATCAAATGCTGGACAAGAAAAACAAGGCAATAACTGAACAAACAATTGACAATGGTGATTACTGTAGTTATAAAAATGTACACAGTTTTAAATCACACTGTGCCTGTGAGTGAAAGATAAGAGATTTAGGTAACTGTCAAGGAAAAGGTTGCTGTGTGGCTAATAGGGGCCCATTTATGTTCAAGTGGCTGAAATTGGTTTCAGAAAAAATTTTGCTATGACTTTGACTGAAGGTAAAATTTTCAAAAGCATTCAAGTAACTTGGGAGACAAAGTCCCATTTCCAAAAGTGACTTGGGCATGCAGGAATCTAAGCTCCATAGACTTTTTTCCTCATGTTAGTTAACTTGAGTCAAGACTTGCTATTGAATAATCCACTGTTACAACCTCACAGTCAGGTTTTATGATAGAGGCCCAGGATAGGCAAAGTAATATGTCTTCCCACTAAGTAGACTTTGAAGCATACACTAGCAAAAGCCATTACCAAAAACACTCTCTCAGTCTGGGAAGACTTTGCTTCCACTGGCGTGAGAGTATGAGATACAGATATCACCAGATGTTCCTCCTGGAGCAGAATTGCCTTGACCCCTGAGTGCATTCATCAGTTTGACTCACCACAGATTAAAAAAAAAAGGCACAGGATTGGATCTGACAGAGGACTTGATGCAGGGTTTCATAAAGCCTGCTTGGCCTCTTCAGTCCAGACCAACTGGACCTGGCCCTGAGTTAAATCTCACAGCAAGTTGGCAAGGATACTAAAATGGGGCTGAACATGGCCATCCATTTATTGATTTAGATTAAGAGACAAATATAAACCCTTCCGAGGAGTGGGTAACGCTAGCACAGGAACAGCACATACCAACTCAGGTGTCAGTTTCACAACATCCGATGACAGAGAATGCCCTAGAAAGTGTACAGCATCTTTTGCAAAACTTAACTTAGCTGTATGCAACTTTATGATAACTTGTTGGAATTGTGTTAGCACCTGGTGCAGAATATCATCAGGCTTAGGAAGGGTTTTAGCATTGACAAGAATGTCACCCTAATAGCAATATACCCCCTATATTTTCAAGGAGCTAAAAGACTACTCTCTAAAATACCTCAGGAGCAGAGTCAAAAGCCAAGAGGCAGCGACTGATAGCAGTACCTCCCATATGGCATACTGAAAGTCAGTTGTAATTTAAATGTTCAGGCACAGGCATTTGCCAATAACCTCTCAGTAATCCAACAGAAAGAAAACCCAAGATCCACTCACCTGGCATGTCATCCCTTCAAAGTCTGGCCATGAAAGCAACTCATATTCCACAGATTTATAAAATCTGTCCACAGTCAAATGTCACCTTTCTTCTTCTTTAGAAACATTGTAGGTGAGCACCAATCTGAAGGTCCTTCCACATCCCAAATACCACCATTATATTTAATGCACTATAGTTTTGCTTGCAGCTTGTTCAAAGGGCAGGGGTAGGGAGGTACACAACACACAGGCAGTGCGAAGGGCTAGGCATTCAAGTCCATCTGTCGAGAATACACATGTCCCATGGACAGAACACCATCACTGTTGAATAAATCATGGTGATGGCTCTGAACCATACATCGGGTAGCCCCTAATCTAGCCAACACAAATGCACCCGAAGTGTCCTGTGCACGCAAGTTCATGCATAGCATAGATCGTATGACAATAATGAAATAATATGCACAACAGTACTTTTAACAATGTAAAACTTTGAAGTCAAGGCTACGCATTTGTAGAGCACGGTACATAGAGCTTCACCCACTGTCTGTAAAGCATGCCAGTGCTTAGCTCGTATATATCACAACTGACTTTCAGTATGCCATGTGGGAGGTACTGTTATCAGCTGGAGCCTCTTGGCTTTTGACTCTGCTTTAAGAACGAATCCAGAGGGGAATATGTTAAACTTCAGTATCTATCTCCACTATGCACTTCATCAGTGTACCATTAATTCCCACAAAACAGGATACCAACCCCAGTGCCTTGCTGCATGAGAAGATCACATTACAAGATAACATCGGGGCCCTGATAAAGGTAGTCTCCTGCTGCTTCATATTCACACTATGCATATCCAGGCTCATATCCAGATAAGGGGAGGGGAAAAGGGTAATTGACCAGGTGCCCAGGTGATTTAAAAAGGCCCAAGATCTCTGGCCACACCTACTGCTACAGTAATGGCACCTGGGAGCCACAGACCCTTTAAAATCACCCAGACATGGGCAGCCAGTGAGCTCCACCCCTTCCGCCTGTACCCTTCCTCTATGGCCAGAGCCTGGAGACCCCCAGCCTCCCTGGGCCAGAACCACAAGCTCCCCCTGCCCAGAGAAACCCAGAGCATCCCCTGTCATGTCACCCCTCCCCCCAGGCTTTATGAAAATTGGTTTATGGATCTGAGTAGGCATAATTTGAAGATGCTTTATGCAAAACTGTTCATGTAACTTATCAATTTTACAGTTACAGTCTGAGGAAGCTGTATGTCCTGGCTTTATGAACATATCATTCTTCTATGTGAAGTTAGAAATATGAAGTGTGGATCTGTGTATGTGTCTAAATATGCTAATGAGAACCATTAGTGATGCTCCCTATCTTAATGACCTTGATCTCCAGCTGGCCTTTGAAACTGCCTGACCCACCCTAAGAAGATACTATCAAGGAAGAACTCTGAAAATCTGTGGACCCAGAGCAGAGTAATAATCCACTCTAACTTGAAGCTGAAATAAGAGCAGCTGTTCACAGTAAGAATATGCATGTGACAAGTTTCTTAGTGGATTAGAACTAGCTAAGTGAATTTTTATTTGTTAATTTAGTAACTTACTTGGATCTGTTTTCACTTGCAACCACTTAAATCCTACCTTTTGTACTTAATAAAAACACTTGTGTTTATTATCAAGCCCTGTGTAATTAAATGTTACCTGAAGGTGGGGAGCAACCACTATGCATATCTCACTTTCCTTTCTTTCACCGATAAAGTGGATGCACTTCCTTGTGGCCTTTCTCTGCGTAGAATTTTTACACAGGGGAAGATGGATTTGTTTGGGGTTTTGGCTCCTTTTGGGAACTGGTTTCCCTTATAGCTGAGCCCTCCCAGAACTGAACTGGTTCAGTGTCTATATTATGCTGCATAAGGGTCAGTAATGTCAACCCTTTGGTTGTGTTGGGGGAGACCAGAGGATCTGTCCCAGACAGACTGGTGGAGAGCCCAAGAGGGCAAAAAGGCAGGTGTCAGTGGCGTGATCAACACACTGAGGGACAATCCCAAGGGAGACTTCCATGATTCAACCCATCACACACCCCTCAGCCAGAGGACCGCTGGGCCAGCTGCAGTCCCATCCCCACTGCTGTCCAGAGTAGTCCTGGTCCAATGTGCTTGCCACGCAGCAGAGAATGAAGGGCCTCACAGTTAATTAGTGGAGCCTGAAGGCTAGCTTTACTAATCAGGTGTGGATTCCTTTTGGACGATGGAGAAAAGGTGGAAGAATATGAGGTGATGGGAGA